CACACACACACACACACACACACACACACACACACACACACACACACACACTACCACCCTCTATTTGGAAGGGTAAAAGTGGTTCATGGCAGTTCGTCATAAGGTATCTTAGGTTTGATCCCTGCTTTATTGAGAGAGAGTGCCTGCTGGAAATCACATGACAATAGTTCCTGTGTCCCAGCTCAATAGAAATAGTTTTCACTTGGCTTTTCAGAGCAAGATATTCCTTTTTATTGGCTATGGCCCTGCAGGGAAAAATCCGAAGCAAAAAAAACCCCATCATCATCTGTTAGTCTCTGTGTCTGAGCGTGGCACATAGGGAATAGCTATAAGAAAAAAAATTCATTGATATCTTTCCTGTCTGAGTAAACAGAAAAGAAAGAAGCTCAGCTTGGCTTTATGGGGGCATTTGATATGAATTTCAGAATCCTATAGCGTTAGAAACGAGAAGCCATCCCTGAACTAGAAAGCAAACAAATAGGTACCTAGGAATTACATCCAGCATTCACCCTTGTCACAGAAACTAGCCTTCACTGACTCCTTACTCTCCAAAAGGTTGAGTAAAAAGATTGATTTTACCATGTGCACAGCGCATGAATAGTTTGAAGTTTTTTCAGATCCCAAGATGCCCAAATTCCAAATCTGGGGGTTCTCACAGAGAATGTCCAAGCACCAATTTCTCTTGCTTAAACTAGGCTCCCACATTGTGCAACTCACTAATTTCAATTCTGCCAGATTGCGACTTAATGCTCAGTTGTCTGAAAAAATAGATTTGAGGTGTTCCAAGATGGCACCCAACATTACTGAACACACCGGTTCCTAGGCCCCATACACATATTCAGTTTCTACTGGGAGACTTGCCACTCTCCCGTTGGAACCATGAGTGTGCAGACATTCAAGTTTTTTCACCCAGAGCCAAAACGGGCACTCCAGGAGAAAAATAATGTGACTACAACCAAATAGAAACTGTTCTTGGGAGAGTTGCGCATTGGGAGAATGAACATATATGCACATTTTCCCACAGCTTAACTCTTCCTGGGGGCCATGAGGAGTGGAACTGTAAGGAAAGTCTCCCATGCCTTCCAGAGACCAGAGTCACCCCAGTCTGGAGAAGGTGTAGGGGGTACCTTCTCCTGCCCCTCCTGTAGACCAGGAGGGGAGGGAAAGAGCAGCCACCAGTTATTCCCTGCCTACTTCTTACTCCAGGGTCTCCAGTGTGAGAACCAGGCAGGGGACTTTGCCCTGTTGATCCAGTCCCCAACAGGAAAGGGAAGCATGAGGCAGCCCATTCTTTCCCCAAACTAGGGTCACCTGTGAGGAGCAGGGTAGAGGGGGCTTGCAGACTGAAAGTTTTGTACTGCTCCCTCTCTGGAATCGTTTCTAACAGTGGAAATTTTTCTGACTCAGGCCTGAACTAAGCACCTAGACTCTCTAAACATTGAGCAGTCATTGCATAGAAATACATAAGTATTAATACATAAGTCCTTAAAAAAGAGATTGGAATCCAATTGTCCCTCTCCTGAATGAGTGGTCTAACCACTGATTTACAGGTTCATGTTCTTTCTTTGTCCCTCCCTCTGGCCCAGTGAATCTTGTCTCTCCCTCTGTTTTGCAAAGTATGATTCCTTTAACACAGTTGTTCCCAATGTTTTTTTATACTATGGACCAGCAAATTCACTCAAAGAATTTTGGGACATTGGGTATAGAAATTTACATATTTAAATTTAATTTTTACGTGTGGAGTGGGGGTTGTAAGGATCGAAGGCAGTGTATGACACAAAAAAAACTCAATAGGCATAGGCACAGTTCAAAACAGATCTGCACATATAACACACAGCAGTTTCAGAGCCTGTGAATCTCCTGATGGGATAAACCCACCCATTATGTACGAGGAGTCATACTTGTGATTGAAAATTGCTTTGTTTCGTTTTTTGGCATTTTCTTGGCATTGTACATCCTCTGCTCAGTTCTCCTCTCTGTCATTCAGAACTTCATTGTTCCTTTTCACAGCAGCACTCTTTCCAAAAAAACAATCCAATGAAGTTTGCTTGATCATCTCTTAGCCATTGCATTTGATACGGAAGTGACTAGCCACAGTTACCACAGTCCAATTTCAAAAACTAAAGTCACAGTCATTGGCCAAGCGAGGACATTCTTGCCCAGCCGATCAGTATAGTGTGGGCATGGCCTGGGCATAGAACTGCTGCTAGCAGTGTTTAAAGGTCATGCCACGATCCAGCAGCCAACCCTTTGCAGCCTGGAACTAGGCTGCGGCCCATTGTTTGCGAACCTCTGCTTTAAGGTGAAGAGAGGGACCTCATCACAAAATAGCCCATAGCCAAGTGTTATATCTCTATCCTGAGACATGAGTGTTGTTGGCTTTAGCTACCTTGGGTTGAGCAAGGCATAAAATCGAGATTTCCCCTGTCCCATGTGAGTACTGTAATCATGAAGTTGTTGCATAAATGGGGAATGTCAGCACCACCAGTAGTGTTTTTGAGTTAAAATGGCTCCAGCTGCTGTGCTTTGAATGGAATTCACTCCCATATGTATGAATTAGGTTCAGGTAAGAATGAGCATCCCAAACAGATCAGATTTCTTAGGACACTTAGGCAAGAAAAAAACCTAGTTTCTGGATTCTAGTCAGGCTTAGGCATGAAACAAGTGCCAAGATGGAGGCATTTCTTGATATGAAAGAAACAGCAATGTACGTTTCTAGGAAATTTTACCATAAATTAATTAACTACTACAAAGTAAGGTGGGAGATTTGAGGGTTTTACTGGACTTAGTCACTAGGGTATTTTACACATGTAAGCCCTGCAGTGCCAGGTGCTTTGAAAAGTGCCCTGCGCTGCAACACTTACAGTTGTATAAGTGGCGAAACGCACATCAGTGCTGAGAAATATGCTTGGCTTCGTATATTTGCATTCACTAAATAAATAAATACTAGAGTAATAGGGCTTTACAGTGTGAAAAAAGAAAGAGACAGATGATTATGGTGCAAGCCCCTACACCAAAGTAACGTCTCCCAATCCAATATCAAACCACCCCTGAAAGAATTATAGATAAAACACTTTTATAGATAAAATAAGTCACACTGGCATAGGTGTTGTCATTCTGTTCCAGCCCATGGTAGATGTTTGCTCAAGGTTATTACCAGCCTCCTCGATTAGGGACAGGTATTACACATAAGCTGGTATACATGATCAGACACCAGTTCAAATTTGTAACACAACAGAAGCTCAGTGCACATAAACCACTTTCGGAACAGCCAAAACTAGTTTAAGGTAAACCTGGAAGGATGTAGTATAAACATTAACTGATTTAGGTTAAATGGATGTATTAAACTTCTGTCCCAGATCCCCTCCAGATTCAGGTTAACTCACAGTACCCCAACATCCCAGGACACTTTGCACCTCTCCCACAAACCCTGCCTCACAGGGTAGGCAGGCTAGCCTTGGCCCAAACTGTCTGTTCCAGGTTGATATGTTCTAGCCCCGCACCTATCCCTGGTTTCTAGCTGAGGCCACTATAGGAATGTGGGTTAATTTCCAGAATCAAAATTGAACATCTGTTCACTTTCTTATTGGTTCAGTCTACACAGTTTAGACTAACCTGCAAAGATTGAATCAATTCAGCCTCAGGTTTTATGACTGTCTGTACTTAGCCCCAGAGCTACAAGCCTGTCTGTCTTTGGGATCCTGGTGTAAGTTACATCACTAAAGAAAACCATTACAGAAATAAGTTACAGCAGTATAATCATGTTGTCTGTCCAGATCTCCAGGGTCAAAATTTTGAACCTGAAAAATGGGTATAAGAATCTGACTAGTCTGCTAGGAGCATTACAAAGATGAAATCAGTAATATTTGTGAAGTACACATCGGGTGCACCTACATGAGATGCTTAATGGTGAATTAGCATAGTTTACTGTGAAGTAAGCACATGGGTCTACACGTGCACATGCTTACTTCACAGTAAATCTCCCTAATCCAAAGTAAATTTGCTACCTACAAATGGAAGTACAAATTACTTGCAAGTACAAATAACTACAAATTTGCTTGGCATTAGTAATGGCACCATAGTGCTTATGTAGACATCTGGCCAGGAACCACATCTGCTCCCAATCAGCCATCCACGAGGGCACAGGAGATAGCTCCCTGCCCCCATGAGCTGCCGGGGATGGCTCCACCACAGGATCCTAGGTAGTGACTGCCCCAGCAGGAGGAAGCTCCAAGCCCACTGCTCCCAGATCGCAATTGCAGAGCAGAGGCTGAAAGATTCTTATCTCCCAGCCCTTGCTCCACCATTGTGATCAGGGAGCAGGGGCTGGGAGACCTTTATCTCGTAGCAGTGGCTCCATGACCATGGGGCTGCTGCTGGGAGCTGCTTATCTCCCAGATCCTTATATAGAGATAAGGGTCTTCCAACCCCAGCCCACAACTGCTGGGCTCAGCCTAAGAGATAAGCATTTCCCAGCAGTGGCTCTGCAATTGCGGAGCCAGTGCTAGGAGCTCCCTGCAGGCAGGAGATGGGAAGCTTGTTTCCCGTCCAGCTCCAACAGTGCGGATTTTGTGGGGGAACAAGCTCCCCAGCCTGTTCTCCACCCCCAGCTCCATACTCACAGAGCTGGGCAGGGAACAAGTTCCCCAGCCCCCACTCGAACAGTTCCCTGCCTAGCCTGGAGGTGACTGGGACCTGTCC